GATCACTCCAGACTCATAGAGTCTCCACTTGGATGTGTAATAGGTACATCAAGCTTGACATGTCCAAAATCCTAATCCTTATTATCCCACTAAACCTGCTCCTCTCACAGCCTTCCTCATCTCTGTCAATGGCAAATCTTCATTCTTCTAGTTTTCTCAGGCCAGAATCCTTTGACTTGTCCTTGGCTCCTCTCTTTCTGTCACCCCCATCAAAGTCTCCAGAAAAACATATCAGTTCTACCTTCAAACCACATGCCATATGACCCCTTAGCACCACCTCCACTGCTGCCACTGTAGTACTAGCCACCCTCGCTTCTCCTTGGTTAGGTAACCATACATAGATGGGACAGTGCCAGTTTATGTCTGTGTCCGAGCGTAGTTATTAATAGCACCTTCTTTCTATTTCAAAACTTTCAACTTGAATTTCAGTTTTAGTTCGTAGAAGTTAGTGGCCTTTCCAGTTGGATATTACAAGAGCTTTCTAACTAGTTTCAATGCTTCTTCTTTCCTCCCCAAATGACAGTTAATTCTCAGTTTAGCAACTGAAAAGATCCTTTAAAAATAAGTCTGATCGAAATTTGAAAACCGATCATGGTGATGGTTGCACAACACGGAAAATATTATTAATGCCAGTGAATTGTACAAATAAAAATGATTGAAATGACAAATGTTTTGTTATATATATTTTACCACAATAAAAAAAAAAATTTCTTTCTTTTTTTTTTTTTTAAATTTTCTAACTTGTTTTAATGAGACCAGTGTGCCCTAATACCAAAAATCTAACAAGGATATTTCGAGAAAAGAAAATTACAGACTAATATTCTTCATGAATATAGATGTAAAAATCTTTCACAAAATATTAGTAAATTAAATATAACAATGTAAGAAGGGGATAATACATCATGAACAAGTGGGATTCATCCCAGGAATGTAAGATTAGTTTAACGGATGGGTGCTAATCACATTAACAAAATAATTAACTCATCACATTAACAAAATAAATAACAAAAATCATATGTTTCACACCTATGTTCATGGCAGCATTGTTCACAATAGCAAAAAGATGGAAACAACCTAGATGCCCATCAACAGATGAATGG